TGAATTCAATTTATTAAAGATTACTTAGTGATATCTCTCTATGTTCTCAGTATCATATAGCTTATCAGCTTATTAAATAAAATTCTGTCAACTTCTGATATTATTTGGGATTACATTTCAATGTTATTTTATTGGAGATGTCTGCAGTTAAGCATACAGCTTACACAGAACAGTCTATTAGGTAACCGTGGTCAGTATTCTTGAGTGTACTGGCACATTTCGTGTGTTTTACTGCGTTTTTTTTTTTTGTAAAAAAATTTCTGAGCACTAATTTTTTAAATACAAAACAGTGATATTAAAATGAATCACATAACGAGACGGCTATGACAAAAAACTTGACCTCTTTTTTTGTCTTCTTAAATTTAAATGTAGCTTGAAAATTTTTGGACGAACAAACACTAATAAACACTATTGTTCACTCATAAATAAATTCTTTATTACTTTTTACATTACTCTTTTTGACTTGTTTTTGCATCATCTTCTGCTTATTTTTTAGTGTTTATTATCTGACTATGTCTCTTACGGTACAACAGTTTTGTTGCTCACTAAGTTGGTGCACGAAGTAGACAAACGAGTAACGAATAACTACAAATATTGAAAAAAATTATTTCTTGATTAGTAAGACAGTTTAGACTGGATCTGCATTGCAGATTAAACAGCAATAATAATTTTTGCAAAGATATATTCTGCTATTTAGTAGCAAAAAATAAAACGCAAAAAATCATATTTTACGTTACTTACAACGCAAGAGAGAAGAAATACTAACAGGACGAAGGCAAACTAATCCAGTAAAACTCCAATCTTTTCGGCAGATTTTTTTACCTGTAGTAAGTAACAGCAGACGATTATTACAACCAACAGCACAAATTTTTAAATATTGAAGCTACCTTCTGAATGTGTATCTTGATAATAAATTTCAAAAAACTTCGAATGAGAAAAGTTTTTCACTTATTGGAACAACATAAATGTTTTATACAATTTCCTACATTGAAAAAAGCTAACTGGTTTATTGTTGGTGACTGTAAAAGTTGTTTTGGGTCGCTTTCAGAAAGACTAATGGTTATTCTTTTTCATTTGTTTCAGTCATTTTTTCATCATAGTTTAATTTAATAGTGAAAAATTTACTGTAGTATAATGCAGAAAAAGTACATACCCAAAGTAATATTAACGACAAGCAATACGTTACAAAAATTTATAGATAAAATCTGCGACCGCATTTTGCTTTTAGACCTTTGCATTAAGCAATATTCAATTTCATAAGCTTTAGCTCTGACGGCTTTGACAATTTTTCAGTTAAAAGCACTCTTTTCAAAGAATAAGGCAATTTGGTATTTAATAATTAATTCACTTTTTTTTTTCCAAGTAAAGTCCTTTTACAGACAAGTGTTCAGGTTACTGTATTTCCTCCTATACGATTTTACCGATCCCAGAAGATTGGAAAATCATTCAAGGATGGAGAAACTGAAACACGTTTTTTCCTTTTTAATCAATATCCTATTCAAATTAGGAAAGCTGTTCATCATAGAGAAAAAAATTCTCAAGTCGGAAAGGAAGAATGCTGCAATTCAAAGAAGACTTCCACACTTTCACATGGTTTTGAATATTGAACATTTGAAAAATTACAGCAAAACATTTAACTTTTTTTGCTATTCCTGCCAGTCCGCATTCTTTTGCGGCAAATCATTTTCACAGTACTTTTACAGTTTATCGCTCTCATCGAAAAAGTCATTTTTTTAATTCACATCTTCTTTTTTCTTTACATAAAATTTTTAACTCTGCTTTACCCACTTACTCGTTTTTGATATATATACACGTCTTCTTTTTTTTTTCAAAGACCTAAGTTTCACCAGTTTTGTACAGCTTTAGTTTGAGCGATATATTATTTCGCGGGAACTTCCTGTTAATAAATGAGGTATTTTTTCACTATTTTTCAACCAGCTCAAAAATGCATCCGTAACTTCGTACTTATGACTTATTTATCTGTAGAAGAAGTGGATAACAAAGAAATTAAAAAAAAAAACCAATTTCTGAATGTAACTGAGTTTTGTCAACTTAAAAAAGTGAATTTTGAGGTTGACAAAGGGTGGGTTCATTGCTAACTTAAAGTGGAATTGACTTTACGTTGCATTTTGGCGAAAATAATTGAAACAAAAGCTATTGAATTTAAAAGCAGTAGAAAAGTGCAATTTTAGCATGAACCAGAATACTCAAACGACCGGAAAGGAAACATAAGTGCAAATGTTAAGCAAAAGCAGTGCGGCTATTGAAGTAGACGGTTACCTGTTTGGTAATATTTATATCGTCGTTGTCATGAGGAACTCATAATAATCTTGGTAGCAGACTCATTTTGTTACCAAGCCCCCGTAAACCTGATTTCTTATTTGACTTTTCTTTTACTATAAAACCTAGATTTTAGTGTAATGTAAATTGCATTTGTCTTGAGTTAGGATCGTATTTTCCTGGCAATTTATAGACCAATGACACTGCTATGCCGATTGGCTAGGAATTGCTCCAATGAGTAAGTGATACGCGCAGCTCGCAACACATCCCAACAAAGGCGAGTAACAGCGCCCTTGTCTTAAGCTTGATAAGACCTGAAAAATTTATGACAAAAACATATTAAGAAGGCCCTTGCTAATCTTGTGAAACAAGAAAGCCATATTCCGAAGCACCTTATCAACTTTGAAACATAAATTTAAAAAATACAGTTGAAATATAATCACTGTGTATGTTAATACCATTTCTAATTGATCGTACACTTCTCCTCCAACAGTTATAAGAGCGTTTCCTGCTGCTTAAAAAGCTTTTTGGGATTCCACTCTTATAAGGCTACTAATTTTTCGTGGTAAACTTTACTACTACGTAAAAATTTGGTTGCCTTCTGCTGTTTCTGTGTTATAAAACGCCGTCTCTTCCCAAACACTTATTTTAAGAAATATTTAAA